CTTTAAGTGCTGTACTTTCTGTTCTTGGCTCAAGTTTTTGGTTGTTTTTTGGGTTTTTTTTTCTTTTTGTTCAATTCACTACTTTTCGTTCATAAACGTAAGACTATCAACTGATAACCCTGAGTGGCTGCAGATCAACTCACTACTATGGGTGGAGGGAACCACGTGGCTGGATGGCAGATGGGAATCTGCTGGTTCAGGTAAAACCTCAGGCTGCTGTGGTTCTCAAATAGCTTACTTCTCTAAGAGAGGGTTAAATATTTTATTATTTTTATTTTTATTTTATTTATTTGACAGAGAGAGAGAAAGAGCACGTGCAAGAGCAGGGGGAGGGGCAGAGGCAGACTCCCCGCTGAGTAGGGAGCCCCATCCCAGGAGCTCGGGATCGTGACCTGAGCCGAAGGCTGATGCTTAGCTGACTGAGCCCCCCAAGTGCCCCAAGAGAGGGGAAAATATTTTATATACAAGGTAAACTCGAAGGACACAAACCACATACATGAATAAAATGTTAAGCCTAATATCTGGAAATGAATAACACATCTATGTTAGACACATAGACCTTTACATATTACAACCACAAATGTGGGCTGTGGAAACAAGCGTCACTGAAAACCTCATCTTTTATTTCTGCATTTGTCAGCAGGTAGGACCACAAACAAGTGTTTTCTCAAATGATACAATCGATTTATAAGCTGTGAACAAGCACTGTTCCTACCTCTTGCAAGCTTTTAAAACCAGCCAGAGCCTTATAGATGACCTACTGCAATTCTCAGACTTGATAAGGAACCTGAAGGCCTAAGAGATTATGTTTTTTTCCTAAAGTCAAAAAGTTAGCTTAGTGGTGCTGGAGACCCTTGAATATGTTATTAGACACTTATTAAGAACGTAGATGAAAGATATATTAATCTCTTTGTATACAAAATTGTATGTTTGTAAAGCACAACAATAAATAAAATTTCTACCTTGCAACCAATTTTCTACAATCTCTTTTAGAGGAGAGAAACAGAATGAATACTTCCTAACTCATTCTTTTTTTTTTTAAGATTTTATTTATTTATTTGACATAGAGAGAGAGAGAACAAGTAGGCAGAGAGGCAGGCAGAGGGAGAGAGAGAAGCAGGCTTCCCGCGGAGCAGGGAGCCCGATGCGGGACTCGATCCCCGGACCCTGGGATCATGACCTGAGCCGAAGGCAGACGCTTAACTGGCTGAGCCACCCAGGCGCCCCTTCCTAACTCATTCTATGAGGCCAAAGTTACCTTAATGCTAAAACCAGACAAAGGCAATACAAGAAAACTACAGACCCATACCTCTCATGAGCATAGATGCAAATATCCTCAACAAAATATTTGCGAATCAAATACAGAAAAGCTTCAAAAGAATTATATACAATAGTCAAGAGGGATTGAACCCATGGATGAGGAGCTGATTCAACACTCAAAAATAAATTAATATAATCCATCATAGACTAAAACAGGCTAAACACCAGACTAAGAGAAATTTCACATGATAATATCAGTAGACACAGAAAAAGGTATCGACAAAATCCAACACCCCCATTCATGATAAAAACTATCAGAAAACTAGGAAAGAAACCTGAAGCTTTCCCAATAAGATCAGGTACAAGGCAAGTGGGTCCTTTCTGGACCACTCCTTTTCAACATCACACCGGATGGCTTTGCTAATGCAAACAGGCAGGAAAAAGAAATAAAGGGATACAGATAGGGAACGAAGACATGGAACTGCGCATGTTCACAGATGACGTAATAATCTCTGCAGGTAACTTGAAAAAAGCCACAGATTAATTCCTGAAATAATAAGCAGTTACAGCAAGCTTGCAGGATACCAGGTTAATATGCAAAAGTCAATCACCTTCCCATATGCCAGTGACCAACAAGTGCAATTGAAATTAATCCTCTGGTTTTAATCTATTATGCAGTTAATGATGGCTATTTTGACTAATGATGGATGATTAGGGTACATACAAAAATAAATAAAACAAACATAAAATATAAATAGATACCCCCAATTTGTATTTTCAATTCTGTAATTAAATAACTTGATTTATCTCCAGGAAGATGTGATATTTCAAAATCCAAACCAAATACATTGAAACATATATTCACAGGTCAGAAAACCTTATATGAATAAAGGACAGATATTTAAGTGAATGAGAAAGTAACTGCAGAGTCAATCTTTTTTTTTTTTTTCAGATTCTTCCTAAAGCTTTCATACTGAGAGAGTTCTGCATTTTTCTCTCACAACAGAAAATGCAAATAAGCCAAAAAAAAAGAAAAAAGAAAATGCAAATAAGTTAGAAATGCTCGAACTTGCCAATAAAAAAAACAACAACAACAGATATTAATGACAAAAGTAATGTCCTTCAGCAAATAATCAAAAACTAAAACTATGAACATAATACTAGAAAAGATGCAGTCGGGAGCCCTCTGATAGGCAATCATGGTCTAAAATGGAAATAAACTTGGCGATACGCATCCAGAACCTTAAACATGTCCATTAACACTGACCTTCTGTTACCATTTCTATGACACTATTCTTAGATTCGAAACAAGCAGTCGATGATTTTTGGAAAGGGATATAGATTTAAGGGTTACTTAATTTAATATTTTTAATTAGAAATAATTCAAATCACCAGCAATAGGGAAATGATTAGAGTATTCCCAAATGTTGAAATCTTAGGTACCTATTTAAAACAACAAAAAAAAAAAACTTGTTTTCATAGGATATATCATAGCAGGGGAAATTTCTCATGATGCAATGTGAAGTGGAAAAAGCCAGATACAAAACTACCTATACAATATGATTACATTTTGCACCTGCCCCCCACCATGTATACATGCAAATACTTAGGCAAACTCAAGATGTTGGAAAGAATTAAACCAAAATCTTACTAACCATGAGGGTAAAAAATCCTTCTTTTTTTTAGTTTTTTTTGTGAATGAATCACTTCTAAATTAGAAAAGAAAGCATTTGCAGGAAAAAAAAAAAAAGAAACCACAACAATCAGCAAAGTACAACATAAAGTATTGGTGTGTCTTCATGCAGGTTTTTATGAAATCCCTATGTATGAATCCTTCACTGTAAGAGGAGAGGGCTTCTTCCTTTATTTTACACACAGACTATTCCTCTGCTCCCTTATATACGAAGGGACCTCATTCAGTCAAGTGGTTGGTTCCACACACACACTTAAATCTAATTGAATACAGTAACTTCTATTTATAAAATCCCCTCAAAATAGACGAAAAATTTTATTGCAACAGACAATATTACTTTTCCAGCAATCATCTCCCTGTGCATCTGGGAAGTGGCTTGTTTCTCTGGGTGGATGTTGTGAGTTACTAATATGAAGGCTATAGCTTTGCAGCAGGAAGCATGGAGAGCAATGCTCGGGGTAAGATAGTACGATCAATACTACATATCTTAATGCCATCTTTACCAACTCTAATGGAAGGTTTTTAAATATTGGCTGGCAGGCTGCATTCTGACTTAGAGAAAAACTCCTTTCTCCTATGAAAAACTGAGACGTGATTTTAATTCCTCAGTGCTTGCAGAGCAGTTGAGCTCTCAGTTTTAGGACTCCCCAGCTCCCCTCCTGATATACCAGACAAATCAACTGTTCTTGCGAGTTGAAAACATTAGCCCGTTGCAATCATTCACCTTACGGGGGGATATTGGAAAGCTGCATTTTAGGCAATATTGTGGTGTCCCCTATCACAGCAGGAAATTAAAAAAGCAACAACAACAACAACAAAAAAAAAAAAAAAAAAAGCCTCATTTTTAATCCCTTCTTGGATACACATTTGTCTAACAGATGCTGTTAAGGATTTTAGGCTTCTATTTGTCAATATTTTTATTTAAATTTATTAAAGGATAGAAGTGTTATGTTAGGAGTGTTAATAATACCCACTAACCACTAAATCACAGAGCTTAAGGTAACTTTAAAAGGCCACCTAACACTCTCCCAAGACCAAAGAGAGACAACACTGAAATGCTGAGCGTATTTATCTGTCCTTGTTTAAAAGTCTGGAACAAGGAAGATTCTTTGACTTTATTCATCAATTCACTTTGGCATTTTACTAAAAGCTCTTCTTGATATCAGGGCTAGGATCCCTCTATTGCAATTTGAGCTTCTAGCCAACCTCAGAGAATGTGGAATAAAGCTATTTTCTGTTCATCTGAATAAAGTAAGGAGTTCTACTCTCAGCCACCAACTCTGAAGATCCAAGAGGCTTGGGTTTTTCTACTTGGTCTTTGCCTCCCGACCTGAAATTCAAATCTAGTCCTTATCTCTGGTTTTCGTAACACAGTGTCTCCACATTTTCTTTCCTCTACTGAGATTAGACATAACCGGGTCCCAAACTAGCTACATGCTTTTATTTTGGGTGTATGAATATATGTGAGGCCCCACTATAAACACTGGGCAAGTTATATGGGAGAACTGAAGTGTGTGGAAAAGACATTTTAATAAAATGTTGGGGCACCGGCTGGCTCAGTCAGTAGAGCATGTGACTCTCAGTCTTGGAATTGTGAGCTCGAGCCCCATGTTGGGTGTAGAGATGGCTTAAAAATAAAATGTTATGGATCATATATTCCAAGAATGAATAGTGCTCATAAATTGTTATGGCATTCCTAACACTTATTTTTTTAAGATCACACTACTTTTAGACACAAGTTATCTCACTTATATCTTTAGCATACTATTTGGCCACTGACCACATTAAGGATTTGGCACTTTAAAAAGTTTGATTATAGTGAAATATACCCATATTGGGTGAACGGCATCGAAGCTTTGACCATGGACCACACTAAGGATTTGGCACTTTAAATAATTTGATCATACTGAAATACACTCACATTGCATGAATGGCGTCGAAGCAAAGCAGACACTCCTCAAGAAAGAGAAACCACTGAGGAGGTTCCCACGAGAGGCCACCACTGGGAAAGCAACCTGTGGAGGGTGACGGTGTTTCCGAGCCTTACCTGACGTCGGTACACGTTATGCAGGTGATGTCTCGACTGTTTGTCGTAATCAGGTTCAAAGCTACTGACGTTTCCTTGTCAGAGGTTGGGTGTGCTCCACATTTAAAGAAAAATTCCTAAAAGAATGAGAACTCTGTGAGAAATCTCAGGCATGGAGCTCAGCTGGCCATTTCCCATCTCCAAACATTTTCACAGTGAACAATCTCTTTGAACAAGAGAGGGAATCTATTAGTAGGTATGAGTTAGAAGTAAGTCCACATCAAATCTTTGGAGGGAAACTAACACCCTCATGCCAAACTAGTCTGCAATCCCCTTGTTAGGAGGGTCCAAGTGTCTCTGCTCATCTTCCTTTGCTCTTTCAGCTCTGGAGCTGGGGAAATGCTCCGTGACTCTGGTTTAGCGATGTCCTTCCATGATAAGTGAGTCTAGTAGAATAGCACAATGTCAGTGCAGGAGGAAGCCTGAAACAGTATCTCACAAATGAGGAAAGGGAGACACTGAGCCATGAAATGATTTGTCCAAAGTCAAACAATCAGAGGTGAAGGCAGGAAGTAACCAGACTTTCTAAGGGGAAACCCAGAGCTTTTTCCATGGCCCGCTACACAATCGGTCAGTTAACAGCAAGGATGTGATACAGAGTAAAGAATCGAGGGAACACTCCTACGAATAAGCATGTTCGAACACGGAGACTTACACAGTAGCAGAGTGTGACTCTCCTCAGACACTTCCCCAGCCATTTTCGGCCTCTGTAGAGGGTCCCAGAATTCCCTGGGAGACTCGGACCATGCCCCCCCACGCTAAGCAGCAGGGAATGTTCTACACCTGTACTTGTCTCCTTAATTGGCTTCGCCAGCCTTGTCCTGCACACTTGGCTTTTCACGTACGTCACATTCTTTTGATTGCTTATATTCTCCCTTCTCAACCCAAATCTTCTTTTTATTTTTCTTCATTTCTTTCCCTTGTTATTTCTCCATTTGTTCACACACCCCTTTACCCTTGGTACATTAAGGTGCTCGGCACAGTAATTGCTCTACCTCTTGCCTGACAGTCTACACCTTCCACAATAACCACATCCATGAAGTGAAGTTCTCTGCTGCGGCAAAAATCCAACACAAGTTTATCACTGGACAACGGAAGAGCACTTGCACACCACACCTCCATTCGAGTATAACTACCTGGAATATGGACAGTAGTTCCCCTTGAAACGCTAGACTCGACCTTTTATTACAGCTCCAGATATTAAATGTTTCTGACTTTGTGGGTCCTTGTTGAGCTTTTCAATCTGCATGGTAGTCTGAGAGCACCCACAGACAACATGCAGATGGACACCTATGACTGTGTCCTAATACAACTTTATTCATAAAAACATTTGGAAAATGGGATTTTGTCCACAGGCCATCATTAATGGTCCACCCCTGATATAGACTCTGAAGTATTATGGAATCCCTTATTCATATCTGTATCTTAACAGTGCCCCGCAGAGAAGAGGCATTAGATATATTTTCTTAAATGAAAAAATCAGTAGGTTTATTCAACAAATTCTACCATTATCCCTTTATACATTTGACAGCACCACCCTTCATTTATTCTTTCCCAACTTACAACCCAACTAAGCTCATTCTCCTCTGACCTGAGATACAATGAGTAACACCTGTGGCTCTCAAACACCCGTTGCACCAGAATCACCTGGTGGAGGGTAGGGGTTGTTACGCTAGACGTTGCTGGGCCCCACACCAGAGTTTTCTAATTCAGTAGTACCGAAGTAGGGCCCATGATTTGCATTTCTGCCATGTTGGCAGGTGATGTTTTTACTACGACTTTGGGAACCACACATTTGAGACTCATCAAGTTATACTGATATTGGTGGTATAGAGAGTAACTGTTTATTCTCTCCGAAGACAACAGCTGTAACACACCTCCGCTTGTCACATCTGAAAATGATGCCATGTCTCAGGTAACAGGTGTTACTCTCCAAACATCTGAAGTGTGCCACTGTACAGAGAAGTGTCCCCAAGCCAGCTGTTTGGAGCCCAGGGTGTCCTTATTTGCAAGTGTCCTACCAACTCCAGATGGTATACCTGTTAGCCGGAGCCACTCCTGCCTGCAGCAAGTGGCATACAAGTCATCCTCCTGCAGTCCCCAGCCCCCCAGATGAGGGTGTGCCAACAGTCTCACTGTAATAGACAGGGTGGCCGGTGCTTCTGATGAACGCCTGTTTAGGTGTGTCCAGGCGTCATACCTATGAGCCCAGGTCTTTCCCTGGAGTGGCATGGGAATCGTACTGATGGCTTTCTTCTCTCTCTCTTTTTTTTTTTTTTTTACCAGAGAATGCTACCTTCTTCATACAACCTTTTGAAATGTTACAAATCCTTCAAAGGCCAGTTCAAGGATGTTAAGAAAAAGATTTAGAGCAATTCCTGACTGCCAAAACAAAAAGCGCGGAGGACAGGAAGGACCCTTATGAAATACACTGAGCTAGTGGCTGTGACTGTTTTCTGCAGATGTGGAAGAAATCCCACTTGTAACACAAAGTAAGTCCTCCAAAACAGCTGAGCTGGCGGGGCTATTGAGAAGGTATTTCACAAGCAGATAAATAGATAGTATTTCTGTTTTTTCTTAGCTTGCAAAAAACTGCCGGTAGATGTTCAGCTAACAAATCACAAACTGTTCAAATACCAGATAAAATCCAGCCAGATAAAAGCCCAAATCCTTTTTACTGGGGGGAAATGGATGTTTATAGATAATAGTATAAAAAGTTACAGATATTCGGAAAATTCCAGGATTTCACATGGGCTGATAAAACTAAAATACAAATTATCAACTCTGTATATTAAAATTAATGTCCCATCAGTGAATTTCAACACTTTCCCCACCAATTTTTAAGAAAGGAGGTTCTTCTGTAGTGCTAGAGTAATTGGCAAGACCGGCGGAGGGTCTGAGACTTCACCCTGTGTGCAGGCTCACACGTTAGCAAGCCACAGTCTTGCGGTTGCTGGCGAAGACACAAGACTCCTGGGTCAGAGACAAAGGACTGCGTGACTCGGAGCTCAGGCAGAAAAAGGTATAGACATGATGACCATGTCAGTTCCCCTGCTCCCCAACAACTATGGGATGAAGCGGATGAAAAACAAGGTGCTACAAGTAAGTGGTTCTGAACTACATACAGGGGAGGACCCTGAGCTTAGGGAACCCAGATCTTTAACAAGGAGCTTCAAGCAAACCTTCCTTTTGTCCTGAAGGGCAATACTGTCTTCACTATAATGGATAATAAGCAGATCTCTCTGCGACCTCCTTGAAAAGATCATCCAGAACAAGAGGGTAGTAGGCGCCTACCTCACAATGTGCAGAAATGCAAGAGAATCCTGGAGAACTGTCTCCCTATAGAAGTGACACCTTTTCTGACTAATCACTGGTGTGATCCGGTCATTTCCTGGCCTATGCCATCAGTGGGCTAAGATGTTGGTAGTCTTTTGATATTTCCATTCTGCATGCAAAATACACAAACAATAAAGCAGAGCAAAACAGAAAACCTTTAAAAAAACTCTACATTGGGGAGGACATCTGTCAATCCTAGTGAAAGGAATCCTAGCTCCCTTAAATGTGGGTGAAGAAAGATTCTCTTAGGGGCACATCCCATCTTTTACTAATGCTAGCTCAAGATAAATCAGCTACAAAAATAGAGACACAAACCAAACCAAACCAAAACAAAAACAAGTCCTATAAAATTAAATGAATTCTTCTACCTACCCAGGAACTATAGTTCCCATGGGCTGGCTCTTTTCATTTGGATCCATATACTCAATTCTGGGAAGCCATAATTAATTAGGTATAGAGTTAAAAGGTATGACAATAATTGGCCAGTTTTTATTTTTTTCAATGACAGTATAAACTATTTAATAAATGGACCCAGAATAAGACTTTGAAAATGAGCTTGGCTTTATATTGCAACCATGTTAAATGCTATATAAGTGTTTTTCACTATCCAGCAGAGTTATATTCTTTAAGTTCATGGAAACATAGTCACGTTTTTACCATTTCTATAGACAAGGCTATGATTCTTTCCCTCTGCTCTTACTGAATTATATTTTATCATAACTCACCTGTCTTTCATTTTAAACTATAGAGGCCTGACCCTCTAACCAAATCAGACCCATAAAAACCAAAAGTATACACCAAGGGAAGACCTGTGAACATTTCAGTTCAGCTGTTGGTGGCATTCCCAGAAGTCACCCTCCTCTTCACTCCACTCTGCCACCTGACTTCTGACTCAGACCAGTGTCTCTCACAAAGAAGGAAATAACAGTAGGTATGGAAACGAATAAATAAGGCAGCAAAATCTGAAAATAAACCATGCCAAGAACCCAGTTGTATAAGAACTTATAGGATTGGAAGCTAATTAGTCAACTCCAAACACAAATTAATGGGTTCCAAATTTCTGACAACTATTGTCCGGAAAGCCTCACATATCCCAACCACAAGCTAGTTACACAAATCGGAAGAAACAGCAATGAGACCGGTCTTCTTCTTTGTTCATGAACCTTCTAGCAGCTTTCATTGAACTTCCCAAAGTTAATGGTGTTTACAGATACTGCTTCACCATCATATGTTTCCCAAATAAAATATTGTGTTTGTCTTTACAAAGCGTTAAATTTGAGTTAGTCTCCAAATCTTTCTCAGTTAATATGCCCCAAAGGAAGCACATCTTTCTCTTGATAAAATAAAAGGATCACACAGTTTCCACTAGAAGGCTGCAATAAATCTGTGGTTTGTACTGAACAAGAAACTGGCCATGTGCATGGGTCAGAGTCAAGTTAGGGAAACAGGGCCCATGCCGGGGAAGCTCAGCTGCAGGAATTTAATGCTGAGATCAAGTTACAAAGGTGGTGGAAGCACCACAGTGTAGGAAGCTGCCCTGAGATCAGCAGCACTGGGGCTCTGTGGGAGGACAGAGGGAGGAGGTGGCTAATTGCTGGAAGCTGGGAGGAGGAGAGAGAGGCTGCCACTGCCAGAAATGCTTCTTTAAAAAAAAAAGTTTTTTTAAATGGCTTCATTTATTTATTTGACACACACACACAGAGAGAGCACATGTGAGAGAGCATAAGCAGGGGGAACAGCA